CCAACACTAATTCTTCAAGGGTCCTTTCAAGATGCCTTTCCTTGACATCTGAAAACACAATAAATTTTAAAACCATGGTCACCAATTGAATCTGAATATGAAGAATGGCAAAAGTGTAGACTCCAAAGCCTTTCAAAGGGATTTTTTCCAGAAGGTAAAATGATACCAGCTTTGAGATTGGAAGAGTACACATGCACGCAGTTCTTCGCTCTGCCAGAATAAACAAACCCCATGTTAGAGCGTTAACCACACTGAGGAGATGCTGAGGCCATAGACGGATAATGGATGATTAAAGACACAAATGTTAATGAACATGTGAACAGCCCATGCGATTGTAGGTAAATGCATCTATCTTCATGGCAACAGTGAGAGATGTAACAGTGTAAAAGCCATTTGGGGGCTGGATGGTAAATGGATGATTAAAGACACAAATGTTAATGAACATGTGAACAGCCCATGCGATTGTAGGTAAATGCCTCTATCTTCATGGCAACAGTGAGAGATGTAACAGTGTAAAAGCCATTTGGGGGCTGGATGGTCAGCTCAGTTGGTTACAGTGTAGTGCCAATAACACCAAGGTCCAGGGCTCGATCCTTGTACCAGCCAGCTGCCAAAAAATAAAAGTAAATAAATAAGTAACAGTCGTTTGGGGAGAAGAGACAGAGAAGATCTACAAGTAATAGGATCTTTATCTATTTCATTGCTTCCCAACACTCAGCATCCTCTGCCACCTGGTCAATTTCCTCATTTACTCATTGATTCAGCACATGTTCATTGAGTTTCTCCAGTGGGTGGGGCATCGTATGGACACTGAGGACAAGAGTACATACCCTGTCTCAAAAGATTTCAGAATTCAAAGACAAGCAGAAAAAACATCACAAAACATAATGTAAGGAGCATGTTTAAAACACTTATTCAACTATTTATTTAGCAATTTTTTTCTTAAGCATCTACTATGTGCAAGGCACAGTGCTAGACATGGAAATACAATGTCAAATGAAACAAACATGGTCAGAGTTCTGTAGTCTAAGGGCTAAGATTCTTAATAATTACTTCTGATTGCCTGATCATTTAACTGGGGATGAAAGTGGATTGAATCATGGACTTCCATAGGATTTGGGCCAATGTTAAGTGTCACCTAAGTCTGCAAAGTCCTTTTTCCTTTTGAGAAGACAGACAGAAAGACAGACAGACAGACTGACTAGAGCTTCTCCCAGCCGTCACTTTGCACCTTGGAAGCTGACGCGAGTTGT